GTAGGATTAATACGCCGTAGCAAGACCATCGGCGCCCCTTAACCGGCGCCTCACAACGTCCGACCGATACTGATGCTCGTATCGCTTCATTTGCGCATTACAATATGAAGCGAAGGGGCTGATGTGAAGCGGCTGCGGTGCTGCATGGATACATAAGTACACCCATGCACCCGTACCAGTGGTTATTGGCACGATGCCAACGGGAAACTCGTCCGAAATTGCTTTCTGAGTCGTGTAGAACAAAGGCTTTTTGCAGGTTTTTGACCGTTTCACTTCGCTTTTTCGCCATTTTCCCACTATATAGCACCCTGCTACCATTTTAGACCGAGTACCAAATAGTCGTGCTTTCTACCTTTAGTGATCGAAATTTTCAGGTTATTCCTATAACTGGCGTCATGAAGTGCCTGCAGATCCGATGGCAAAGGTATATATATGTTCGAGCAATTATTTACTTTTAGAGTTTTGTATTGTTTGATATACATGCGTATTCAGCATGGTGGAGTGGAATCTAGATTTGGTGGTTACTTCGAATGAACGGTGCTATTAGATGAGCTGTAGAAGCCGTCAGATGGATACAACATGCACCTTTGGGCGCAGGACGGCTTAGTGGGGGCACTAAAGGATACTCAGCATAGCTTGTACAGGCCACTTTCCAAAGATCCGTAAACTCTTGCAACCAAAATGACTTGTACCATTGTTTGTACCTCGTACTGTTACCTTGTACCGTTGAAACTTCACAGGAGTTTCACAGGTCTCACTTCGTTGACATGAACTGGCAGTAGGAACCAGCGAATGTGCAAAATGCCCCTCCTAAGCCGAACAGCGCCCAACATTGATTTCTGATTAATTACTACTCGATTGCATCCGTGTTATGTGTGTTTCGGGTAACCGAATTATCTCAATTGTTGTGTGGACTAGTAACTGAATCAAATGCTGCTCGTTAGTTCTGTTTCGAATATTCTTATTTTTGAAGTCTATCATACGTTTTTATGTCGTTTCTCTCATTTAACGAATAAATTTTTTAATCTCCTATATGGGTCTTTCAATGGCTTAATGTTCAAACATTCCGTATTTTCTTTGCTGGAACTCAGTCTTATTGGGGTTGATGCAGTCTTTCCATGGTGATATTCATTTATTGCAGATGACCCTCAGTGAAGATGAGTTCGGAGAGAAAATCGACAGGTGAGGCTATTTGAATTAGGATGGGAACTCTGCGTATAGCTATTGAAGGGAGTGGTCGCATTCGGTCGTTGGAGGAAGGAGGGTCGAATTGCGTTGGAAATCTCTTCGTTTGTTGACTTTCCTCCACCGTTTCCTAGCTCAAGGCCGCTATGTACCGTCTCCACCGCTCGATAGTTTCTTTTTCTTGGGGGAGGGAGACTGGAATTTTAGGAAAAGACTGGAAAAATGGTAGAAAGTTGGGAGAATTTAGATAGTATGTAGTGGTTGGAAGAATGGGAGATGAGGAAGGATGGGGTCATACCAGAGGATGATTAAATGGCGGGGGGAAAGTGTTTGGCAAAAATTTGTCCCACTCGCAGGACTTACCTGCTCGTGAACACAGCACTAAATCATTCGTTTCTGTCTCTCGCCATTGCCATCCGCTGACAAAACAAAAGTTGACAGAGACGACGACGACCTGGACTTCGTCGGTCTCAGTCGCATCACCCTTGTATGGTTAGCAAGAGCGGGCATCACCTAGCAGGTCTCTCCCCCGACGGTGGAAATCCTGCAGGAATTCCCTAACCGCTCCCTTCGTCCATCTGTCATCGTAATTTCTTGGAACATAACCGATCCATCGCAGTCTTGCATTCGCTACGTACTTCACAAGATCGCGCTGGCAGGGAGTGTTACGTTACTCATAGTTTCGGTTACACAATTCACTTGTTCATTAATGCGTTGGTAGGCAAGTTCTCGCTCAGATAAACCTCCCCTCCAGCCGCGCTCAATGAGTATCACCTTCGTCTGAGAGTACGGACACTTAACCTGTACGTCGGCTGGACCCCACAAGTGTTGTATCGGCCAGATCGTATTCAATGAGTGACTAGCATTCTGAATGGAAGAAGAATGCGTGCCATATCCCAAAAAGGGATTGATCGACCGATGAGACTTTACGTTGAACATGCTGTATACGCTTGGTCAGCTTGTCAAACCAGCAGACCGACGAAGAACCATCCGCTGACATTCCATGTAAATGAAGGGAATGAGTTAACAGAAAAATGAGCTGGGAACTGGAATCAAAACAGAACTGAAGAGAACCAATCCCACTGGAGTTTAAGGTCGTCACAATCCACACAATCAGTTGAGATCCTCCACACAACCCCTGTGGCATTCATGCCCCTACAAGTGTTGATAGATAGAAGGGTTATCTGGACGCTCTTAGGAGTGCCACACAAAAAACTAGAGTCATGTCTTAATACTCAGGGCAACGTCACAAAGGAAGCGAGACAACCTCAACAGTAGACCAGGAACGCCCACTATGACTAGATCAGTGGAAAATCATCATAAATATTTAGGTCTGAGGGAATTATAAAAATTCAGAAATGCAAATTCAGCTGAAAACTGGGAGAGGATAGGATGAGTTAAATTTTTGATGATTTTTATGAACTGAATGCATATGATCACTAGTTTTGCTATAAGGCAGAGAGAGAAAGGTAATAGATGGTGTTACTGCCATGACGGTGCTACTCCGATTTACTACTGACGTCAGTACGATCCTGAACATCCAGGGTAGAACCAACTTTCCCCTCTGTCTGTTCACAAACCCTCAGGCTTTTCTAAGTTAAAAAGGTCGTTAGTGAGGTTTCAGGGAACCCCATGCCAGGGTTGCACAATTATTGTGAACGAAAGCGACTCACATCTTATAACAACAGCGGGTTAACGCTGCTAAGCTCGAGTGGCTATTAATAGTCCTATGTCTTGAAAGAGTGCATCAATACTTCGCGATCCGATCATGCGATCTGAGGGTTCGGATCGCGGAGTATTAGCGCGCTCTTGAGCCTAAAAAGCATCTGTAAGGATTCCCAGTGATATTTTTGCCCACATATCCAATTATCTGGAAAAGTTCTTCATTTCAGATGTTTCGCCGACTCGCTATTAAAAATAAGTGGTGGAATAGCAATCGGAATTGTGGCCAGCGTGGCATTTTTCAAGGTAGCGTTCATACATTTATAGAGCGTTTTTTTTCTTCTAGCTATCAAAAGCCCCTTTTTGCAGTTGCTGTTTAATATTTGCGCTCGATTACAAACATTTGATGTTTTTTGGGCATACATTCATTACAAATTTTCACTGATAGTCCATTACGGCCTTAGGAGGAGTCTCGATTCTTTGTCGAGACAAAGGGAGAGAAAGTTAGTAAACTGCAATCTTCGAAAAGGCGGACGAAGCAGGAGTGTTCCAGAACTTCTTACTTGCTTTACCGCTGTAACCTTGCACGTTCCAACTTTTCACACATAATAAGCGGCTAACCCTTTACCGATCCCTGCGTAATAAGCTGACCGTCAATGACCTACAGTGTTATCGAAAACTGCATTCTATCTTAGCCTAGCACATAATTGGAGTCCTGTCTTTCCGATTCGGCCTTTTGAAGTGGCTTAAGGGAGATCATTTGGTACTGTACAGGGAGAAGGGCGGGGGAGGGGGCCGCGAAGCGAAAATGCTCTACGCTCTACACCCAAGGCGACCCTTCGTCTCTTTGACCCCGCCTCTCCCCCCCCCTCCCATAGTCGAAGGAAACCGGCCTTTTACACGCTTGTTTTTCCTGCAACTATTATCAGAACTACTCATTCCAAAGAGGAAGCGGTAATTCAAAACTTACTTGACCGTTAAGCAAACCATATTGTTCTCGAGCTGACGGGTTAGACGACCTGAGCGTAATGAGCAGAGTACCGGTTTGTAGTATACTTGTATATCTGTGTCCTAATGGGCCAGGGCGATCCATCAATAATCCAGCATTCTTATGTTGTTACATGTGTAGAAGTTGCTGAGATAATATCATGTGTTCAGAGCCGATCCTGGCCTATATGGTTTGGGTCAGGTATAGGCGTCGGCACCGGCTGGTCAAATTGTCGTCATGATTTAGCTCAACCGTTTCTGCTACACGGGAAGAAAGTGCCTGTAGGAACAGACACGGAGGTAACGAAGGTACAATATCTTTTGATGACTTTGTGGTCTTTGATTTTTCAGAGACAAATTTCAGGGAAAACCTACATACGCCATCGTCGTCGAGAAAAAAGACTAGTTATTAGCCAGTAGAGGTCAGAGGAAGAATACACTAACGATTTTATCAAGCGATTCCATGCTGCCATACGCTTCTAGAAATAAATTATACCCGGTCCTGAGTTTTACATCATGATTTTCTGTACTAACGGAATAGCTCATTGGAACTAAAAGACATCCCGTACTCAATACAGAGTGACGTTAGGGTGGGCTTACCTAGTCTTATCTAAACCTGAGCCTCCTACAAGAAGAATACAGATGCTCCTGCAATAGCTCGGATTACAGTAGCGCTGGACTGCGGAATCCATAATTTTTCCAGGAATGAAGCATCACCATTTCGATTGGAAGACGTAGAGAGAGGGTGTGGCTTGGTTGCGCTTGGCTTCCCACGAACTATTAGGTTGGCTAATAAGTAATGGCGGTTTTTTTTCATTTGAAAAATT